GGGAGCAGGCCTAAGCCAGCAGGTCGTTATCCCCCGAGGGGTCCCAGACTGCGAGAGGGCACAGGCCGGGCTGAGGGACCCCCTCTCCCCCCCGAGTGCACAAATTTTTGTGCACCGGGCCTCTAGTATGTTTATAAAAGTGATTTGGACAGTTCTTGTATTCATTATTTTTTAATTTAGGTACTAAAACAAAGACTATAAAACTCCAGAAAAGTTAGAAAATTGATGAAAATTTAACCACCTTTATTCTCTTTACAATAGAGTTATAAAAAAAACTTTATAAAAGTATAGTCATAGATCAGAATAGACATGTAACAAAGTTTTCTGCCCATTGTTATTTCATGTAATTATAATGCTCTTGTCATGCAATTTCTATTTATAGCTATCTTTTTTCCCTCTGTTCATTCATTAACTTATTTTCAGAACTCCAGAATGTGCTTTGGAGGGTTTTTGAAATCTATGCTATCTTATGAATTCAAATATATGCTATACTTAACTTGATACCATATGAAAAGATCATTTTGATTTGCTTTTCTACTATGGTTGTTAAAATACATACATTCTGCTTTTTCTCCATGTTCCTCTTAGATATCATTCCCTCTAAACCTAATTCAGGTATAAAATACCTTTATATTCTCTCCCTTTCTTTCTTCCTTTCTTTCTTTTCTTTCTTTTCTTTCTTTTCTTTCTTTTCTTTCTTTCTTTCTTTCTTTCTTTCTTTCTTTCTTTCTTTCTTTCTTTCTTTCTTTCTTTCTTTCTTTCTTTCTTTCTTCTATCCTTATCAAAACATTCTCTTTAAGGCACTATCCTATGTCTCTATATCTGTATCTATAATTCAGTATATAGAAATATATCATTTATTAGCTACTGGTTTTTAATAACTATAATTTATTTCTAATTATAAAAGAAATATAAGATGTGATTAAAAGATTTGCAAAAAATAAATGGAAGTTATTTTTAATCCTTCAGAAAATCCATAATTCTATATGATATCAAGTATAAGCTATTTTTTCAATAATATACCCTATAAAAATTTAAACCTTTATTGAATATACTAATTTTGTACTACATCAATGTATTCTTTCTTTTATAGCTTCTCGGACTTCTTTACAGAGTGAGCTTCATCGAGATAGGAGGTATGGTTATATTTATAATAGAGGGTATATATTCTGCTCATAATGAAATAAAAATTTTATCGGTTAGCAAGTTAAATATTTCTCTTTCATAAGCAGTGTATTATAACATTCTGCCTCATCAATACATTTCCTGAATTAATCTATAAGCTTGAATGATAGAGACTTTGGTTGAGAGGAGAAGCAATACAAGCCTAAAAGTGTTCTTTTGAGACTAATTATTTACTGACATCAATTTGAAAATGTTTATTAAGCAACTACTATCTATAAAGCATTATCGGAACTGCTTCAAAGGAGTGCTTTGTACCTCATAGCTACTTAGTACATGTTGCATAGATAAATGATGAATGACAGGATAGGAAATTGAGTGGAAGGATAAAGAAAGGAAAAGAGGCAGGCAGGCAGGCTGGATAGATAGCTGAATGCATAAGTGGCTAGATGGTTGGCTGGAGAAAGGGAAGAAGGTCACTGAATACACAAAAAGAAGGACAAATAGACAGATAGAGGGCTGAATGGATGGGTTAGCAGGTGGATAAATGGATAGATTTTTATAAAACAGCTTCCATGCTTTCAGATTTCTTAGGGTATGGTACCTGGGAATGAAGAACAAAGACTTTAGAGTGAGACATTATGCAAGTTCAAATCATGACTTTACTTTCTCACCATGTGACCTTGGCAAGCTACGTAACCCTTCTTCGCTTCAATATCCCCATCATTAAAGCAGTACAAACCAGACCTCCCTTGTAAGGTTGTTATACGGATTAATGCATGTAGAGTGGTTAAAATTTATTAATTAGTAACTCATTATTTAGTTAAACAAAAGCTATAAGCAGAGGTTCTTAGGTACTGCCATTCAAATGTAATTAATAAGCAGGTTCCACCGTTTCACAAGCTAGCATGAGAGTGTGTCTATACATGGGGTTGGGGGTGGGGGGAGGGTGTTTATTTTATTAATATTTTTATTGATTTCAGAGAGGGAGAGAGAGAGAAACGCCAATGATGAGAGAGAGTCATTGATCAGCTGCCTCCACATCCCACCACACTAGGGAATGAGCCCGCAATCTGGGCATGTGCCCTGCCCAGGAATTGAACTGTTACCTCCTGGTTCATAGGTTGATGCTCAACCACCAGCCAGGCTATACACAGTTTTGATAATGATAGTGCTTTTTGGTTTTGTTTTTATTTGGCATAGAGTGCTAGAAAAAGGAAGAGCAGGTATCCTCGTCATTATTTGTTAGAACAGAAACTTGAGGCTCAGAGAGGTGATTGATCAGCTCAGAGTTGGTATTTGTTAGGAAGTCAGGTTGAAGGTAAGATTTAAACATGAAACTGTATAATCAGGTTAAGAAAATTATGAAAGAAGCCATGTGCCTAAATTACTATGGCTCCTCAGTGTTAAAGAATAATCATCAAATTCGTGTACAAAACTGACAAGGAACACAGACACACACATCAGGGTCTAGAAATGAACATGTGAACTCTAAATGCTTAAAGATAACTTGGAATTGGGACAGAGGTGGAGTGAGGAGGAAGAAGGTATTCTATTTATATGGTATCATTTTTGAGTTTATACTTTATAATAACAGAAAACTAAACAATTCTATTTGACCCATGCACTTTTCTACTTATGGTATATTTATGTTTGTCTATAGGCTAGATAGCAGAGCCCTGGAATAAAGAGTTTGTATGGACCTTACCTAGTCCATATTCTTATCAACCAAGGCAGAGCTAAGTGTGCTTAGGGTACATCTCTAACTTTTTGTGCCCAAACTCATAGAGGATGGCTGCCATTTGATCCCTTGAAGCCTGCCTGGGTGTACTGTTAGAGACTGTACATGTCATTTCTGTGACTGCGGTAGTTCTTATGTAACTTGTTTGGGTGGTAGTTGTTTTCATGAAGCTTTGAACATTTGCAAATAGACTATAGCCTGTTACCAACTTGCAAAATCTCACTGAGGCTTCTGTCTGCTAGGCGCCCGGAGATCACCATTGTGGCAGCTGAGCCACTGAGGCCAGCCTCATGGTTTCCAGGAGCCCCAGCCCCAGGATTGGGATTTCCCCCACCCTCTGCAGCAGGCCCTTGGAGGCCCAGTGAGCTGGTTCCTGCTGAGGTGAATAAGTACCCTGTTATCTCTTTGCATTTTATGTTTAAAATGAAATTCAAATATTAGAACAGTGAGAGTGTTAACATGTTGGCTGTCATCCATAGATGTCTAAAATTTTCATTCATTATTTTGTAGCTCCCACCATCTTATGAACAAGTCATAAAAGAAATCAACCAAGTTCAAGTTAATACTACAAATAACAATAATGCTGCTGCCTCTCCAAGGCACACTATTACTTCTGCAACTCAGACTGACTTTTCAGAAGAAATAGACAACCACCTGCCTCAAAGTAATGCAAGTAATTTGTCTCCCCTAATTCTGACCTGGTTCTAGGAAAGTAATCAGTAGGCTCTAGTCTTAAAAATAATTTTCAATTCATACATAATTTATTGAGCTCTGCTTCCCAGTCAGTGTGATCATGTGTGCTTTCTTTATTTGGATTTGCTATGATTATAATAGTTCATTCTCAGGACCCAAAGCCCCATTTCCTTGGGCTCACCCTAATTCATAACACAAAACATCCTTTAACTCATGGTTGGTATTACTGCTGATGCCCTTTATTCCCACCGAGAAGGATGTTGTATTTAGCAATGTAAACTTGATAGGATGCTAAAGGTGTTTGCCCTGTTAGGCTTTTTAAATGCATTGTATTAGGATAACAGACGGAAATAAGTTACTTTGGAAAAGTAAAGCAAGAATCATTAGAATTTTGACAGCGAGAGAGAAATGATTTGTGTGATAAGTCTACTGAGAATCAGAAATTTAACTGTGTTTTAAATTATTACAAAATGAATGTTTCTTATATGAATAAATATAATTTGAACACTGTGCAGAAAGCTGAGTATAAACATTTCCACATTGATTTGGGAATTACTTTTTACTAATTGAGAGAACCAAATTCTCTTGCTATTCTACATGTATATCTTTAAAAATCTGTTTATCTTCTATTATGTTTTTCTTTTAAATTATAATGTTGCAACTTATTTTTGTTCATTTTGATCTTATCAGCACTGCAGGCACCTCTCAAACCTCTTCAGCCTGCCCCAGGGGTCTCAGCCAGTGATCTTCCCACAAATGTGGCACCTTTAATAGTCTTTGACATTTCTGAGGAACACACTTGTCCAGAAAACTCCAATGCTACAAGATGTCCAGTGCCAAAACCAAGATCAAAAAGCAACCTCAGACCAGTAGCCAGAGATTCTCACATTAAAGGGCAGAATCTCCAGAAAATCAGCTCAGCGGCCACCGAAGAGGAGTCAGCCCCAAGCCGACCCCAGTCTCTGTTGGACAATACCAACGACTTGGACAGTCAGGCAGGGATGAACATTATGAACACAGAACGAAGCCAAAATAGTATTGTTTCAAGGATCAAAGCATTGGATAGTCAGACAAATACTGAAACTTCTGAGCTGCCCAAGAAACCAGAGATTGCTCCCCGCTCACTCCCCCCAAGGCCTGCTGTTCCCTCAGGGAAACCCTCTGTGGCTCCCAAACCAGCTGCTAACAGAGCTTCTGGAGAACTGGACTCCTGGAATGAAAACAGACGCAAGGTGGCCTCAGGGGAAGGGCCCACCCCACACTCTCCACCGCAAGAAGTAGGGAGCATCCCAGTAACCAAACCTGAATTGCCAAAGAAACCAAACCCTGGCCTTACACGAAGTGTTAATCCTGAGACTCTGGGGGGAGGGCCCGTGGTTGAGAGCCCTGATGGCAGGAAGAGAGTCCCAACTCCTGCTCCTCGACCTTTGCTGCCGAAGAAATCAGTTTCCTCAGAAAACCCCAGCTGCCCTGCCGCTTTGCTGAAACCAGTCACTGTTCCTCCCCGACCCCCAGTGGCATCACAAGCCAAAGCATTCAGGTCATTGGGTGAAGGAGCCTCAGCCAACCCCGCAGCCCCAGGTCTGCAAAGCAAGCCTCTGGGGGACATCGACCTCATCAGCTTTGATGATGATGTTTTACCCATCCCACCTGGGAATGTGGTTGAAGACTCTCTTGGTTCAGAGATGGCTCTGGGTGAGTAAAAGTCAGAAGTGGAGGGGAATCTAAACTCATAGGGTCTCTTGAATGGCACTTGCTGTTTCAGTTTCCAGTACATAGGTTATTGAGATGTGTATGTGTAGAGAGAGGGAGAAACACAGAGAAATTAAAAAACATGGAGCTGGGTGGAAGATGGAAATTAAGAGGGAGGAAAGGGAAAATACGGAATGGGAAGATGGAGACAGAGAACGAGGGAGACACACACGTTGATTACTATTATCCAAGCCTGGGATGAGGGACCAAACCAGATGTGGGCCGGCTCCCTTACTCTGGCAGATGGAGAGTCAAACATGAGCAGGAAGCAGGGAAACTTCCCATACATGGGAAGTCATGCAGTGGGTCTGGAAGGGCTCCTGAGATTGAACCAGCCCTGCTGGGAGTGCCTGGAGAGGGGCCAGCCCTGGGGAGGACTTTGGCAAGACCAATGCAAGAAGTGAGAACCCAGCCATATGCTGCATTTTTTTTTCCCCATAATCTTTATATAAACTCTTCCCTTGAGAATGCTGTTTTGTAAATAAATACAATAGTTAAAAGTTTCCTGCCAAGATCAGGACAATTAAATTTCTCAAGAGGCAGAGGAGTGTTTTTTTTTTCCCCTCACACTGTTCAGCAAGAGGGTGTGATGGTGAAGCTTATGTCTGATTTGTCAAACTAAGCTGCTCTGCCTGTCATTAATAAGATTTGTTTTACTGCTGTTTACTTATTTGGGTAGAATTTTTGATCATATAAGCTTAATAGTATTTTCAAAAGGTTAGTTGTCATCTGTAAAAATGTTTAACATGCATCAGTGGTATAAACTCTGATTCAAAACCAGCTTCTGCACAGCATAGGTGTATTTTAAATGATAACAAATACATATTTATTAAATATTTATCATACACACAACATGTACCGTGCCTCTTTCTCATAAGGAGTAGAAGGGAAGCTGTTGGAATATATTGAGTTTCTGCAGTGTTCCAAACCCTGTACTAAATACCCTGACATCTATTATTTAATTGAATACTTACAGAAACCCTCTGTAAGCTATCATTAGCCTCAATTTTCAGATGAAGAAAATGAGGCTGAGAGAGATCCATGGGTGATTTGCCCAGTGTCATAAAACTACAGTTTTCCAAGGCAGAATTCATACTCAATCTATTTATTCTAGAAAAAAATATTTTTTTAGTTGAGAGAGAGAGAGAGAGAGAGAGAGAGAGAGTTTAGAGAGAGAGAGAGAGAGAGAGAGAGAGAGAGAAACATCGATTTGTTGTTCCACTTATTTATTCATTTATTGGTTGACTCTTGTATGTGCCCTGACTGGGGATTGAATCTGCAACCTTGGTACATTAGGCTGACGTTCTAACCAACTGACCTACCCAGCCAGGGCATTCAATCTTTTTATTCTAAGTCTAGTTTATTTTTCACTATATCGTATTGCTACCCAACATTTCCATGAAGCCTTAAACTAGGCCAGTGGTTGGCAAACTGTGGCTCGCGAGCCACATGTGGCTCTTTGGCTCCTTGAGTGTGGCTCTTCCACAAAATACCGACTTCTGCGCATGGGCCACGAAGTTTCAATTGCACTGTATGTGCGCGCCTGCACGTGGTATTTTGTGGAAGAGCCACACTCAAGGGGCCAAAGAGCCGCATGTGGCTCACGAGCTGCAGTTTGCCGACCACTGATACTAGGCAATACATTAAAAACTTTTCAAGTCTTGGTTATGCCATTTTCTTATTTAAACCTTTTTGGTGTTACAAGGTTCAAGGTAGGACAGGGGTGGGTAAATTCAACAGCAGCAAGCTGTTTAAGGGGTAGAAACTGTTTAGGCCAAAGAAATGCCTCCTTTTATAGAACCTGCTAGATTCTGTGGGGATAGCACTTAGTTAATAATTGTTGAGACTATTTCTGTGTCATTAAGCAGATAATTACAGTCATCTTCAAAAAACAAAGGTCAAAAACATACATTCAACATTAATGCAGTCTCATGCTTCATCCTGAGCCTTTTCTGTTTCATTGCACAACGTTTAATTATTGAGGCAGTCTTTTAGCAAAATGTGTAACTTGCTTGCCCTGCCTGACTTTAGCCATTGCTCTTGACTGTGGAGTTTTACTGAACTGAACACCTCTTCCTATATTCTGCTCCTCACGTAGTGATACTGTCAGACTCCCAGCCTCCCCTAGAGAATCCTAGAGATACCCTTGAGTCTTCCTGTCACTCAGTGGCTAGTTGTTTGGACTTGGAGTCAGACTGGTCTGGGTCTACCACTTAATTGGCATATGACTTTGGACAATTTACTTAATCCCACAATACCTTGGTTTCCTCATCTATAAAACATGATAATAATACTCCTCAAGGTATTTCAAGGATACATGTGATTATGAAGGAAAGCCCTACCTATGATCTGAAACATGTGAAGTGCTCATTAAGTGGTAGTTGTTGTTATTTCTTGCCCTTCACATCCAATTAGTTACCAACTCCTGCTGCGTTACCTTCTGAATAGTGATTGAATCTTCCTCTCATTTCCATCCCTCCTGCTACTGCCCTGTCCTAGGCCTTTATGCCCCAATCACTGCAGTGGCCTCCTCAGTTGAGTCTCTCCTCCTTCCACAAATGCAGCATCGTCCATCTTATGGCTACCCAAGCAATATTTCTAGAGTGTACATTGGACCTTGTGACTTCTTTGCTTATTGCCCTCCAGGATCATCTCTGAATTCCTCAACATGTAGAGGGTTTATTTATTTATTTTTATTTGGACTTTGTGACTTTTGTTTTTCCGGACTTTGTGACTTTTTGATGGCATATCAATAGCACTGTCTTTGGATTATGTCTCTTTGTGAAACCTTGCTTAATCATCCTAGCATCAGCCAGAAACTGGGAGAGGAACACAGGATAAAGGCGAGAAACTCACAAATATGTCTTTCCTTCTCTTTCTCTTTTCTGAAAAATAAAGAAAATCTAATAAAACAGTTTTCATATAATGAAGTTGCCATATTAATCTCAGGAAATAGAGATCAAAAAATACTGAAACTATGAAAACATTGTAAAGATTAGAAAATTTATTAAAGAAAAACTCGTAAAACAGACAGTTTAATATTGGATTCATTTCATGGGTAGAATGCCTTCCAGGTTAATATAATAGAGCTGAGAAGTATTAGCAGTTCCTCTTCACACCTTTACCAATCATATCCAGTTGTCAAAAAGGCAGAATACTTCTGCTGTCAGCCCCATTACACAGACCAGAATAATAATGTAGCAGTCAATTTCTGGTATTAACAGAACTCAAGGGAAAGAAATGACAGAAAAGCAAGCCAAGGATGGTGAAACTAATTATGATGACAAGCATGTTATTAGAGACAGGTAATGGGCAGAAAACTACATTATCATCAATGTTTTTCTCTACCCAGTAATGAAAAGCATGCGGATACAGGTGTAAAGCCGCTTGCTAGTTTGGCAGCAGGTGGAGAATAATTGGTTATGTGTGTGAGGGGCTTGAAGGAGGGCAGAATAACACTGCAAATAAAAGTAGAGAAAAGTGCCATTGGCCTTCCTGAGATTTAGATGAAAGATTCTTTTGGAGATGCTTTGTGTTTTTTCTGGAGAAGCCAGAGCAAACAGTCTGTGATGGAGAGACTTGTGGCACTGCGGTTCTTAACCCTTTCTGGATCACAGAACTCTGAGAATATGATTAGCTTGCAAATCTTCTTTTTCCTTTGAAAAAGGAGTTATATTTTTCCAGGTTACAAATAAGAGCTAATTATTATGAACTAAGTCTGTCTAATTTAGACAAATTCAAAAATATATATCTGCATTATTTCCCATTAAATAGGATCACTGAGGAATAGTATCAAAAAGAGAATTTTTATGCAGACATTCTCCATTTTTCATTCATAAAACCTGTATGTCACTTGAGCAAAATGATTTTAAATTTAAAAGGGGAGCCAGAGGTTTCAATGCCTGGAAAGTCTTATAAAATATCACCTAAATAATTCAGTTGCTCGTTCTTTCAATATTATCTATTGAACACTTACTTGAAGCACTATTTTGTGCTAGAAGCTACTTGAATTGAAAAAGAGATTCAAATTCTATTTTAAATTAGGTGAGGAGCACTATTTTGTAATGGAGTAGCCCATTACTAAATTACCTTTAGTTTATTGTAAATCTTAGACCCAACATGTAAAAATATGGGCCCCATGATGTTTAGTTTTTGTGCATCAAAACTAAGCTATAGTACCCAGTTATTCAAACACTCATCTGTAAGTGTTGTTGTGAATGTATTTTGTAGATGTGGTTAACATCTACGATCAGTAGACTTCCTTGATAATGTGGATAGGCCTCATCCAACCGGTTGAAAGGCTTAAGAGAAAAACTGAGGTTTCCCTGGGGAACAAGAAATTCTGTCTTAAGACCTCAGTATCACTTCCTGCCTGCCTGCCCTATACATATCAAACTTGCCAGCCTCCATAATCACATAAGCCAATCCTGATTGGTTCTGTTTCTCTGGAGAACCCCAACTGATACTAACTCTAAGCAGACTCCTGGGTTTGAAGCTTGGCTCTGCTACTTCTCTATTGGGTGATTTCTGTACCTCTGTTACTTCATCTGTAAAATGGGGATAATACTTGTACCTAACTCAAGGGAACCAGAATAACCTCGAGCACAGAGTAAGTACTTTAAAAGTGTTTGTAAATAAGTAATTCTGTGGTGCCAAGTTTACTTCTCAGCTGGAAAACTTGAGATGTTTTTATTCTCAAATATTTGCTATCAACCATACATGATCGCTTTTTTCCACACCAAGAACAGAACAGCCTAGGAACAAACAGCACCTCACCAGCCACAGGTGCCTATACATTTAGATGGTGCAGGAGCAGGGTGAGACAACAGGCCAACTCTACACATGGGGATAATTCGGCAAAGCTGCGGTAAGAGCACTTCTGGAACATTAAGAAAAAAATATATAGAATTTTTATTTTTCTAGTTACTTTGTGGAAAATTTTA